CAATTCCCCCTCCATAGTTTCGGCTCATTCCTTGATTCGATCTGGCCTTTTATCACTAAACCCTATTCTTTTCATTTGCAATTTTCCTGTACATTTTTTTCATATGAAACGACAAAGAGTTTTATAAGTAAACTGATTTTTTGGTGTACCACGTTTATTACATTGAATATACAAATACATGCAAAAGGCTGGCTGAATAAGCTCCTCCTCCTACTCCTAATTTTTTGGTTGCTTTCACCCCATGCCTCTGCACGACTCCCTATTGGCTAAAAGGAGAGTTTTTTCCTTGTCAGTTACCCTCTGCAATTTTTTATAAGTATGTAAAGATATAAAAAACACAAAGGTTTTTACAAGTAAACTGTTTTTTTGTGTACCAAACTAAATACCTATATATACATATACTTTGTTCTGGCAAAATGGTGGCTAAGAACAACTGAATATATACCTACTTGGAAATAAAATGCTGTTTGGCTTCCTGTTAAAACATTATGTAAGAATGACACGTGTTTGTTCAAATTGTGACAAAACCACATCAAAAAGTCAAAGCAAAAAAAGAAAAAAGTGTAATTTTCATAACCAACTTACAATCTCTCCATTATTGACAGCAACAGGGGCCATTGCATCACTGCTTGATGTTGTAATTATCCTTCTACAGAGCACTGGCATTCATGAGTCATTTCCTTTATTTTTGACATTAGGACAGCTTTGGAATCCCTAGATTTAAATGGGAGTTCGAAGAAAGTACAGATTTCCTTAAGTATGGAAACAGCCTTGGATATGCTCCCTGACACCAGCATGACCAGGATAATGACATATTATCTTTTGCACTTCTCCAAAACTTCCCCAATGTATGATGCCTATATCAAATCCACATTTTTTTTATCCTCCTGAGTGAGTTGAAATAGGCGAGTCCTTGCCAAGATTAGCTCATTTTCACTCAGGACCTCTTTAAACAGGTGGCAGCTTATCAGATGATGTTTTACTTCATCATTACATTCAGAAAGCCGTACCAAACCACTTAAGCCACGCAATGAACCACAGTTTTTTTCCATCTTTGCTATTCAAAAAGCAGTCCTAAGACAATAAACATCTCACTAACAAACAGCTTCTTCCTGTAACTATAACTGTTTCCAACATGATACAAGTTTTGGAGATCTAAAGGAACTCACTATAACTTTGTATACTTGATACGATTTCAATTTCCATGCCCCAGAGAAGCCTACTGTACTTTGTGAGTGTTCAGTGATCACACTCGCGAGGTAAAGAATGGTTTGTGACTTTTTCACTCAATTGACTTTTCACTCTTATGAAATGGTTGAACGGAATATAGACTGCGAGCAGTCTCTCATTTTTCTTAAAAGATAGTGAGTTCACACGTATCCTATGAGCATAGAGAAGCTGCGAGACACGAGACTCGTGTCTTGCATCTTTGCTGCTCCACGCTCTCACGGTTGGGCAAAGACAAGACATGTTACTACTGATGCGATACAAGAGGTTTAATGGTTATCTCGATTATCTAAACACATTTGTTTACATGGTAAGATCTGGTTATAAATCTATGGATTGATGCCAGTCCTTTGTGGAACAAAATGTATTTGAAAGGAAAAAAGAATACTAAGCATAACAAAAGTTGTCTGCAAGACAAAGCATGCATGCCTTTGCATTAAGACTGAGAGTCCTTATGCTTATTATGATACTTTAATGCATATGTTCGAATGTTCCCAAAAATCTTCTGATAATCTGCCCGCACCCAACCCACACCCCTCCCCTCACCACTGAGCTGTGCTGTTTTCACTCACCGGCTGGTCAGTGGTCACGTTTATGAGGTAAACATCGCTTCCTGATCACTGTTCTCGTCAATCAGAAAATCAAAATACCAGGTGATATTGCCTCTAAGATGGAGCAGTTATGTTATTTGTACTTCACATTCGAATCGAAGCTTGGGTGGCACAGGTTATTTTTTATGGTGCAATCGACGAGGGGAATTCGAACACTAGTTGTAGTGTTTGAATTGTTGCTGGAAGAAATGGTCACATGGGGGTGTAGGAATGGTAAGTTTAACAATTTCAAATTTTGCCGCTTGAATTGAAAGTAAAGTTCATTTGAATTGCTTTCATATGTATTTCTAACAGTTTTAGACCTACCTGCTTGATTTATATCTGCTACGCTTCATGTTGACAAGTCCCTCATAATGGCAGCCAAACTTGGAGATTGCCAAAAATTAGCTAAGTTCACGGAGTTATAAAGTTTTAGTAAAGGTCGGGCTGCAAAGTTTTTTTCTGTAGTTACCTTTTCTATGGTACCTACTTCCTAGCTATGAATTGAATTTCATCGGTTTTCGCATGTGTGACTTAAGCGAACCAATAAGGTGTCACTCAAGTCTTCCTGTTTGCTTGATTGAAACGCAATGTTCATGAAAGTCGCCTTGATGGATAAGATAGAGTTAATATACATGGCTGTGGTATTTGTTTTTTGCCGAATCTCATAGTTTTTCATAAATTGTCCTCCAAAGTTGTCTCAAATTTAAGTCTTGAAAAGTGTCACGACAGGCCTTGGCTCGAGTGAAATTTAATTTCCATAAAACTCTGAAAAATAAAGAGATCCGATCAAACGGATTGTGGTTTTAGTATAGGTACTTGAATGTCTTACAATGCACAGAAAATGAGCTAAATCTGTGTCTCAAGCAAAATTGGCCAAACCGCAATTACTGAGACAGTAAACATTCCCAAATTTGCTGGAAAGGCAGCCTTTCACTTGTGTGTTGACTGAGCCAGAGCTACACCTAAATACAAGCTGTTAAGACTGTGTGAATGCCTCCAAGGTCAAGACCTTAAGGTTATTGAGAAGCTTGGTCATTCTGAGGCAGCATATGAAGCTGCCAAGTCTCAACTAGAACGGAAGTATGGTGGGAAATGTAGAGCTCTCACACTGCGTCTCGCAGAGTTAGAAGCTTTCAAACAGATAAGACAAGACAGTGAGAGGGCTCTCGAGAAGTTTGCTGCTGCTATGGTGGTTTCAAATCCAAAGTACTACCCGCAACAAAAGCAAAGCCCTTGACAAAGATAAGTACCTGTTGGCCGTTGAAGGGGAACTTAAGGCCAATTTTAACTATTTTTTGTATTGATGTTAACATAGGATGGATCAATTTTACAGCAATCATTTATATTGATGATGAATGATTTTATGAAAAATCGATCCTAAGCTTTGGATTGCACCTGCCATGTTCCCTTTTGATCGCAGGAGCTTAAAGGGTCAGCGGATTAAAACATGACATCAGATCATGATGCCGCATTGCTTTGCTTTTGTTTTGCTTGAGGAGTTTAGAGAGCCAAAGTGAGTATATTGAGCTAGTTTAGTTTCAGCCACTTTGAAATGTCTGATGACAAAACCTCTTTGCATTCATCTCAATCAAGTCTTTCTATTGACGATGAAAATATGCCTGAAAATGTGATTTGGCCATACCAGTTTGAACCAGAGTTTTCTTCCAGCAAAGAAGGCATGGAAGAAGAAGGAGAATTAGAGGAGCATCAACACAATGACAAAAATTCTTGG